CACTAACTTATCTGCTATACCCCGAGCTTTGTGTCACACATTTAGTTGTCCTGACAACTGAGCACGAGCACGTTGAATCGGAAGCTTATTCTGTAAGAGTTTGATATCCATTATTTTCCTAACGGATTTTTCCGTAGCATCGTTCCTCTTCATTTCCTCAAACCATTCTCGCCGCAATGGCCGGCGAGTGAACCTTTATGTAAAAGGCACTGTTGAAGAGCAAAGCTTTCCGTATCCTCATCAACGGTAAGCCATGTTTTTACTTATTGGCCGTCTAAAAGAGATTCTAAAGTAACGTTTTGAGTTTTAGCCCTTCGTCAGAGCGAAGAAAATCACTTATAAATGTCAATCAAATTAAGAATAATTAACTTATCATACAGTTCCCAACACTCATGCAAACTTTGCTTGAGTGTTGAACCACGAAATAATTTACAGTGATCATTTCACCATTAATTTGCGTTATTTTGTCGACGACAGCGCCTTCACCTTCAGAATACTACTTTTAAATGCACGTTTATCTCCCAGAGTCAATGTTAGTAGAACTTTTGGGCGAGTTTTTGTAAAAAAAGTGGTCTATTATGACAAAACATGGCGTTTTTTGTCGTTTTCAAGCGGTAAACCTGTTTCGAGCGGTAAACCCGCTATTCCCCGTGGGTAACCACTAAATACTGGTTCGACACGGTATCTTAAATTGAGAATTTACTGCGCCAAGGTTTTACGGATGTATACAAGCTGCATTTTGATGCCTGTTTCATGAACAGATAACATGATAAGTTTATCATCATCAACGTTTGGTTTAGTGAAGAGCCCTCGTCATGATGAAAATTATCGTCGCACGCATTTATCAAAGGGATGAATTAGCGCCTAAAGTTACGGGTCTTCAAAGTGCTTGGTTTCTGTGTTTATAAATTGAATACACTTCACTCTCAAAGTGCATCCCAGCAAAAGGGAGTACAATGATATCTACGGTATGACGGGGAAACCTTAGGAAAAGCGGAGGGTGAGTTATAATCGCTCCCACGGAAAGCAGTGATACGTCTAGAGGCTGATGTCACTTTTGAGGAACGTTTTTGTTTTAAATTATTTTAATGCGGGGGAGTCCAGAATCAGTGCAAGTCAAGTTTAGTGCGATTGAAATTAAGGTCCAGTTTACTTTACTCTCAGAGAACCTTGAGTAGGACTTCAGACTTTTAATGAATGATTTGTCAAACTTATTAGAACAAAAGAATCTATGGCGAAGAGCTATTTATATAAAACTAAAGTCGAAAATTTGAATATGAACTATTAATTAAAGTCATGCTGCGGTCCATTCTTCATTGGAAGAAATTTCCAGACAACATTTCCAAATTATTTCTAGCCAAAAAAAAAAAGGAACGAATGTTTTCCGCCTACACTACAACGGTCGTTAACGGCGGCAGACAGAATTGAATGGACCTTGATCATGTAATTACCAAGAGCTTAGTTAAACCGCCAAAAAATTGAAAGAGCATTGATGTTAGTTTTTTCACTAGCTCGGAGAATTTGTCAACTAAAAAACCAAGTAAATTTTTGAAATCGCATGACATTACTAAACAAACGCTCTGATACTGTTTAGAGGTTTCAAGGAACCATTAAGTGGCACTGTGGAGAAAATTTCTGACTGCCGGGCATTTAGTAGCGTCTACAACCGAACAATATTACAACCTCGAAGAATTTGTCCACCAAAAGAGCAAGATAATTTTTGGAATCGCTTAACAATTCTAAGCAATCATCTGATATTCCCGCGAAGTTTGAAAGAACCTTAATTTCGGTGGAAATTCTGTGAGAAATTCTGACTGCCGGGCATTTCGTCTTCTTGAGAGGTCGTTATCAAAACATGGAATCTCCATCCATCTAAAACCACCTAAAACCACCTGAAACCACGTTCAGAATAATATTTTTATCCTTTTGAGGCATTTTTGTGACAATTTTGTTGACAAATACACACGGGAAATTGTTGTCTTGTTTTGTAGGTTGCCATCAATAGCGAAAACCAGCACTCTTTAAAATTAAGTCACTGTCTGCGACATTTGCCCATCCAACGGCTCGCATGAAAGTATTGGAAAAACACAAAGAGGGAAAAACACAAAGAAAATTGTTAGCACAGGAGAGGCACCAAGAGCCTTAGGGCTTTTCGAGTAATACATAGACTACGTTTTCGAAGTCAGTGTTTTCGAGGTCTGCTTTTTTCAACGTCTGATAGAGGTCAACGGAACACCTAGTAGATAGTGGGAAATTTTGATGAGGTTGCGTAATATAACACCAGGGGGGAGGTGTTTCATTTATACGGACGCCCGCACGGTGTCAAGTCCAAACTTCACTCTCAAAGTGCATCCCAGCAAAAGGGAGTACAATGATATCTACGGTATGACAGGGAAACCTTAGGAAAAGCGGAGGGTGAGTTATAATCGCTTCCACGGAAAGCAGTGATACGTCTAGAGGCTTATGTCACTTTTGAGGAACATTTTTGTTTTAAATTATTTTTATGCGTGGTAGTCCAGAATCAGTGCAAGTCAAGTTTAGTGCGATTGAAATTAAGGTCCAGTTTACTATACTCTTAGAAAACTTTGAGCAGGACTTCAGACTTTTAACGAATGATTTATCAAACTTGTTAGAACGAAAGAATCTATGGGGGACTATTCAGATAACAACTGAAGTCGAAAATTTCGATATGAACTATTAATTAAAGTCATGCTGCGGTCCATTCTTCATTGGAAAAAATTTCCAGACAACGTTTCCAAATTATTTCTAGCCAAGAAAAAAGAGGAACGAATGTTTTCCGCTCACACTACAACGGTCGTCAACGGCGGCAGACAGATTTGAAGGGACCTTGATCATGTTTTTACCAAGAGCTTCGTTAAACCGCCAAAAAATTGAAAGAGCATTGATGTCAGCTTTTCCACTAGCTCGGAGAATTTTTGAAATCGCATGACATTTCTAAACAAACACTCTGATTCTCTTTAGAGGTTTCGAGGAATCATTTAGTGGCACTTTGGAGAAAATTTCCGACTGCCGGGCATTTAGCGTTTACGTAACCGTGCCTGGCAGTCTGATTAGAAGCGTCGACAACCCAGCAACATTACAAGCTCGAAGAATTTGTCCACTAAAAGAGCAAGTTAATTTTTTGAATCGCTTAACAGTTCTAAGCAATCATCTGATATTTCGGTGGAAATTTTGTGAAAAATTCTGACTTCTGGGCATTTCTTCTTCTTGAGAGGTCGTTATTAAAACATTGAATGACCTAGATCCATCAAAACCACCCACAACACCTAACACCACCTAAAAGCACCTGAAACCACCTACAACCACCTATCAAATACTATTTTACTATTACTATTCCGATTTTAGTTCTTGGTTTACCCCGGGTGCCATAGGCTTTTCATGCGTTTTCCGGTTTTGGTTAGTCTTTTTTTTTGACACGCGAAAAAAGCTTCTGGAAAAGAGCGCTGTTCCTTTAATAGAAGGCGGCTGCTGACCAGTCAATGTCTCAAGAGGGTCGCAGGCTCAAGTATTTTCAAAAATCATTGATTGTAGGTGGTTTTTAAGTTGTTTTAGTTAGCTGTAGGTGGTTTTATGCGGTTGTAAGTGGTTTTAGGTAGGTCATTCCATGTTTTAGTACTTACGTTTCTGGAGACCGTGTCCGGCTGCAGTAAAGTTAGTCCTAATTCAACTTGTTTTCTGTCCCCAGAGTCTTAAAATCTATTTTGAAAATGCATTTCAAAACTATCAAAACAAGTCCCCTTCCACTCAGCGTGGTGCAGAGAGGGCTCTCGGGAAATTTTGTGATCCTGTCGTTTTAAAATACGACATCTGTCTTACTATACAGGAACATCGTCTAGTGAATTTTTTTGTATATTTAGAAATCTCTCAAAACCTATTCGCTCGTGTAACAGATATGGCTTGCAAATAGCAAGGAACGGCAATATTAGCAGTGTCTTGGTGAATTCCTGTATAATGAGACAAAGTTGCAAGGTAAGCTACACAAAGTTGCAGCTTCCTCAAATTGTTATCGCACAACCACTTGTAAACGTAATATTTTTCACACGAAATTGTCAGTACGATTCCATCCATATAGATTGTAATTACAAAGCCGATAACAGCACTGTGTTGACATTTTTTATATGTATCGTCTAGCTAAAAGCTTTGATTGAGTGGGCTAGCTCACAGGAGATGTTATGCTAAAACGCAGACTGCAGACTGCAAACTGTGCGGACCGCGCAGACCGTGCAGACCGTACAGACCGTACAGACCGTGCAGACCGTGCAGACCGCGCTTTTTTGGCTCCAGAATTCGACTGTTTCATTTCGCGAGACACTGACAAATTCATTCATGACCTATCACGCAATCGACTTCGATAGGTATCCAATTTTACCGTATTATGCGGTTATTTTCAGCTTGAGAAAAAAATGACGTTTTCTCGCTTATGAAATTTTATTTTACGCCTCAATGGACGTGAAATGAAAATAAAAAAATTTGATTTATTTTTATGAACAAGTTCTTGCTTATGGGAGATAAGAAGGAAAGCGGAATAGCGAAAAATTGTGGAAACTCGATTCGAAATGAAAAGTTGGTTGCACGCTGCTTCCTCAAATAATTGTAAGATAATGTTTTCTTGTTATTTGGTTTCTATCTAGAGGGAGCCTGGAACTCAACAGGCTCACCCAAGCAAGGGGATCAATTTTAGCCGGCCGCGCGCAAATATCCCGCGCAAAATTTTAAACAAAAACAAGAGTAGCAACCGCTGTTATGCTAACTATGCCAAGAAAATTAAACGTTCATAAAAAGTAGAGAAAGGAAACTCGACACTCTTCGAGCACAAAGCTTATTCAATGACGGTTATTTACCATTTTGTTTTAAGCTATTATTGGATTTTATGTAAGTTTACAACTCGTAGAGGGCAAGTTGGTTCTGACATCCTGGAACAACATGCACAGACATTTGGTCATTGCGTTTAACATGCTAATAATGGCTATGTATTTTGTATGTCTCAAGTGATGGCACCAAAAAGCGGTTACATGAAAATCTCTGGTGATAAAGATGAAAAAGTCAGTTTTGTATCTTCACTTTTTTTCCGTTGGATGAACGAAGTCCTTAAAAAGGGTAGTCAAAGACCTTTGGATCAAAATGACTTCTTACCCTTGTCAGACGAGAACTCGGGCCGTTTTGTCACCGACAAGCTTAAAAAAATCTGGGAAAGCGAGAAACATCATTGCAAGATGAATGGGAAAAGGCCCAAACTTTGGAAAAGCGTGTTTTATATGCCTTCTGCCAAAGATGTTATCACCATTTTGATGGGGAATATATTGTGCACAACTTCTCGCCTTCTCTTTCCACTGTTCCTCGGGTATCTTGTTTCTAAGCTTATGTCGACTGAGGCAGAGAATACTTATCGGCTCTACGCCTGCGCATTAGCTATGTGTCTCAATGGTTTGATCGGTGGTCTTGGTATGCACCAGGATAGCTACAGATGTGAAATATTGGGGATCAAAATAGGAAGCGCCCTGAGGGGAATGGTGTACCACAAGGTAGGCACGATCCTAAAGAGTATTCTATGCACCTGTCATAGGCTCAACTCATTTTTCTAATACCCTAAACACCCCAAACTAAGCCGAAAAAACACCTTTATCTATCCGACCCAGAAATAATTTTTCCAGAAATGTGATCGATTGTAATCAGCTTATGCCATATGGAGACCCTGAAGGAGAGGGTAATTGAAAATCATCGCTGGTGCTTCTGCGAGAGCAAGCAATCCCGCTCACCAACAAAAAAATCGAAGAAACAAACAGTTATTTAGCCTGCAGTTAACGGGGAAGTAGGTTACAGAAACCATAACGCATAAGGCCACGCTTCTTAGTGAGATTCAAAATGGCGCCTTAGCTGTCGCTCTTTTTCACATTTAAAGATAATTTGGTAAAGGTTTGTTTACTCTCGTCTCGAAACGCAGGAACGGATGTCTTTATTCCGTAGATTAAAATCATATGGTTTATGGAACATACTTCTCTAATGTCTAATCTGTACTCTCTTTCAGACACTTCTACTCAGCAAGCAGACGTTACTGAAATTCACTGCAGGACGTTTACTCGACCTGATATCCAATGATGTTAAAAGAATGGAAGAAGAGACAGTCAAGTTTTTTGTCTCAGCCGTTTTCGCAGTCCTTGCTTATGTAGGGGCAATATTCCTTATCTACAATTTGATTGGCTGGCAGGCTGTTATGGGTGTGTTCCTTCTGTGTGTTCTTATGCCGTACTTTGCCGTTTTGTCCTATGCTAATGCTAAGCTGCGCTTGTGCACAGCTACAGTGTCCGATCAGCGAATCTCCCTCACGAATCAAGTAGTTTCCGGGATCCGCGCGGTCAAAACGCATGCGTGGGAGGAGGAATATAGACGAAAGATAAAACATATAAGAAGGTAAGGTAAATTGTCAGTTTTTATCAGAAGTGGGCTAAAACAACTATCTTTATTCATCCCCTTGATTGTTGAACTAAATTATTCAAAATCCACAAATATGTTTTGTCTCCACTGAGAGCTTTATTAGCTAAGCAGTTCAAACAAAAAAAAGTGTCTCATGTAACCCATTTCATAACTATAGGACTAGCCGGTCAGTTAATAAATATCAGTATCTACTAAGTAGAAAGTGTTGAAAGTGCACTCTGATTGGCTACTCAAACTCCGAATATCCTTTGCAATTCATCTTCGAGCGACTCGTTCGGGATTTGCACCCGAAAATATTGTAATCGTTTTTACTTCAGTGTCGGTGAAAAAGGGTGGTTATCACCTCCACTTCGGAGCATAATTGTTCGTTATCATAGGTAGAACATCTCATTGAGTCTAACTTGACTTCAGTTGGTATTATTTCTCATACGCTGTCGTGGGTTCGCAAAAGACGCACTTTCACAAAGAAGTGAACGATGAGGAATGGTGCACTTGTTGCCCGCTCGCCTCCTCTATACTTCAAATTAGAGAGAACACAGAGGACGAATTGGTTCGACAGAATGCCCACATAACTGATGAACAACTTTTATCTGCAGAAATGAAATCAGCGTCATTTCGAAGAGGACAGCCATTCAGTCAAGTATTGATGCCTTGTTATACAGTGCAACGCCACTGGCCACTCTGGTGTCAGTAATTATTATGGTGCTTACAGGCCAGACCCTCACGCCCGCGAATGTTTTCATGCTGCTGTCGTTTATGGGTGTTTTAAAATTTAGTGGTATGTTGAATATGACATCAGGTTTAATGGTAACGTATGACGCCTACGTTTCGCTCGGAAGAATCGAAGAATTCCTTCTTTTAGAAAATCTGTTACAAGCCTCGGAGAGTGATGCAAGCAACGAGCCTCAACAAAAAGCGAAAAGTGCCGCAACTTACCTAAGTCGCAGTTACTTGAAAAAAGAAGAGGAAAATACGGAGAAAGTTTCCCTGTCTCGTGAATCAAGAGAATTAGGGCCTACTATATTATGTGTGTCAAATTTAAGCTACGCAAAAATGCATCATGAAGATGAATTTATTCTTGAGGATATCAACTTCTTTGCACCTTCAAAGAGTTTAACAGTCATCACCGGACCGGTTGGAAGTGGTAAGTCTACTCTGCTCTCAGCGATCGCTGGTGAAATTTGGAACACCAGTGGGACGATTGATTATCAAGGCTCTGTCATTTACTTGCCTCAGACTGCTTGGGTGTTCTCGGGAACGATAAAAGAAAACATTCTGTTTGGTCAACCCTGCAAGGAGTCCAAGTACGAAAGAATAATCGACGTCTGCGCTCTGAAAGAAGACTTTCAGCGGTTACCTGATGGTGACCAAACAGTCGTTGGAGAACGCGGAGAGGTTCTGAGTGGAGGACAACAGGCGAGAGTAAGTTTAGCTCGTGCAGTTTATTCTGACGGAGATATTTATCTATTGGATGATCCATTGAGTGCTGTCGATGTTAAAGTTGGCCAACACATCTTTAACAAGTGCTTCAAAGATCTACTGGGCGATAAAATCGTTCTGTTTGCCTCTCATCAGCAACAGCACATGGAAAATGCTGACGAAGTAATTGTGTTGTACAAAGGGCGTGTCCTCGACAAGGGACGCTTTACTGAGCTGCACGAAAAAGGTGTAATCAATTCAACTGTTGACCCGCTCTATAAAGCAGCTCTGAAGGACAAAACGGACTCATCTGAGCCGTTCTGCTGGGAAGATAAGGAGGAACACGATGATGCTGAAAAGTGCCAGAAAATACATCCTCTGCCCAATGAAGCGAAGAGTTTGGAGATAGCAAGGGAGGATCGTTCAATCGGAGTTGTGACATCCAAGCTTTATTGGGACTATTTCAGAAGTGGAGCACATCCTTTGATGCTAACTGGAATGGTTGGTTTAAGTCTCATTACTCAAGGTAAACTTATTGTTAGACTGAGCTACAAACCTTGGGTCAGACCTTTTTTCTATATTTCTTTTCTTCTATTCTTTTATTCTGTTTCGTGCAAATCACTTCATAATGGCTATGCTTTTAACCAAGAATAAACGTTCTTTTTAGATTAGTAGGTAGCGTTAAGAGACACTGCACAAACTTCTGACCATGTTCTCGATATCTCACTTGCTCGTACAAGCGCGAGGCAAGCGCGAGTGAATGGCGAGTTACGTGCGAAAGGAAGACCTGGTGTTTTTCTTCTCGCGTTTGCCTTACACTTGCCTCCACTCGCATGAAAAGGTCGAAAAACCACTCGCTCCACAAACTAACTTTCTGAGACCAAAAGCAGCTTTTTAATAATATTTATGTGTGACATGGTTGACTGCCTCATATATTCTGTGACGTTGTGGTGCTTGCATAAACATCCTCAAGACGTTAACGGTAGTAGGTAATCCAGGCGAGTTGTGTCTAGGCGCAATAAATCTTACAATGTTCATCTGAGTGATCATACAAAAGTACATTTCAACCACTGCATTTTAATGGTATTTCTTTCAGCCATCATAGTTGCTCCAGACTTGTGGCTTTCGTTTCTTGCAAGGCTAAACCCAGATGATCAGAGTAACAAGACTTATCTATCTGTCTTCGCCTGTCTGGTTGGCGCGTGTTTTATATTTAATATCGTTCGGGCTTACGGATTCTTCCATGTTTGTCTGAAGTGCGCCGAGCATCTTCACGATAAAATGGTTGTGGCCATTTTACAAGCACCTGTCCTGTTCTTTGATTCGAATCCAGTGGGAAGAATCCTAAATCGTTTCTCCAATGATATTGGCTGCGTAGATGAGATGTTACCCAAAACATTCCTGGCGGCAATGCAGATGCTCTTGGTGATATTTGGCCAAATTCTAGTAACAGTTTCTACAAATGTTTGGCTGATGTTTCTTGTTGTTCCAATTTCCATGTTGGTCGTTTTTCTATCCAATTATTACTTGAAGACTGCCAGAGAACTAAAGAGGTTAGAGTCGATATCCCGAAGCCCAGTGTTCGCTCATTTTTCGGAGACCCTGATAGGACTGGACACGATTCGTACGAGAGGAAGACAGACAGATTTTGTGGATGTACTCTACAGGTATGTCAAAGACATTGATTCAGTTTGTGGTGTCAGAGCCGATAAATGCACAGGGCAATAGTGACTCATAGTCGCTCGTTTTCTGTGAGCTATTTTTTTTAAATTTGCCGGCAATACGCGAAATGGCATCACGTGTCTTTTGTAATCCTATCCGGTACGTGCCGAGACACTGGTCAGCAAGTGGACCTTTCGGTACGAGGCACGGTGGCGAAACGAAGCTATCCGAAAGAGGCACGAGGGGCATTAACAGTTGTGAGACTACAGTTATTGCTCTGTGCGGTTTTCATCCTACTGATAGGGTTTTAACAGTCGCATAATATGAACCGTCAATCAACAAGATCGCGTGACGTAGAAATTTTACAATAAGTCGAAACTATGACAAATGTATGGAACTTATAAGCGATGTTAGTTTCTTTCTCTAATTTTGTCACAGTTTTGATCAATTGGTAAGAGAACGTCATGTCGTGCAATTCTGCCTTTAATAATACTCGTGATTAAAAAAGTCAGACTCCCGCCTCGCAGTCGTCCCCTTTTGTTAATCACTCGTATGATTACTGGCCGAATTGGACTCCACTCAGTCCTATTACCATTATGAGTTTAATTAACAGGAGATACAGACGAGTGCCACTCGTCTTCTCCTTCTGATTAATGTTATACTTAGCATATTAGATGTAGTTGTGATAGTGAACAATTAAGAACTGGTCTGTTTTTGGCGAATTTACTATTTTTAATGGAAATGTATCCATATCGTTAAGAAACTCAGCTCTAGCGGCTCTCACTTCATCTGGACGAATGGAGCATACCTAAGAATGAGATGTGGTTACGGAAATGATCTTTCGGATATTTAGCAAGAAGCTTACGGATGTTCCTTGGAGGGTAACATCTTTTTGAGGGGCAGGGGTGTCGGGCGGAATTTATTGAAGGGTTCCGTTACATTGTCAGGCCAAAGGAGACACTGGTCTCACTTCAGTGTACAGACCCGATGTAATCTCTCTGAGATTTTTTTGGGGTGATTGTCGTAACGAAAATATTATTTTATAATAACAAGCCAATCAAAACAAAAGAAAAGATCACTAGTAGTGACAGAGGACTTAACTAAAAAACAAGGAAACGGCATTGAACGCTGAGAAACGCGTTCGACCAACAGGCGGTTGGTTTTGCGCAAGTTTGACGGACCAATCACCAATCAAAGTAATTACCAAGCTGTTACAACCCGGTTTATTTTCGACAGTCAACTAAAAAAGAACTCCATTATCAAAACTTATTGTGATAAAAACTTGTCCCCTCAGATATCAAGATGTTCATAATCAGGCGTATGTTATGGTGATGGCCAGCGGTAGGTGGCTCGGTACACGTTTGGATTGTCTCGCTTCCTTGTTAGTCGGTGCATTTGCTGTGGCTGCCATCTTGGTATCTCAAGATGCCGGTAAGCTCAAGATTCTTAGTAACATTTTTGAGTCTTTTTATGTAAAGTAAGAATCTATAGAGTCGTGTATTAACACAGCATGAACAACTGAATAATAAACGAGTGGTTTCTAAACACGACAGAAACGTGAGAGTCAACTCGGGTGGCTTAAGTGCAGAGCAAACTTTCAAGTGTCTTCTATGATTCAAAACAGGAAACTTGTGCTGATAACTCCTTTGCACCTACTTAGCTTGGAGTCAAAACAACGACGTAAAAAGATGCCTTATTTGGTACTTCCTATTAAGTGACTGCCTGGACAAGGCTAGGTAACCTAGCCTTGTAAAGCTTTCGTTATATGTTTTGAGCTATCGGGAAAAAACAGGTCCGGAATTTATAGACTTAAGTTCTAATTTTCTTTTCAGCTTACGCTGGTCTCGCTCTTGTTTACGTCATCCAAACTCTGAGCGCGACTCAATACGCTGTTAGAAAAACGTCTGAAGTTGAAAACTACATGACGTCAGTTGAGCGAGTTATGACTTACACCCGACTCGATCAGGAGCCTGGATACGAAGAAGAACGAACACCGCCAAAAGACTGGCCTCGGAGAGGAAGTATTGTGTTGAGAGATGTATCATTGACGTACTATCCGAGGGGACCTCAAGTGCTGAAGAACATCAATCTTAGCATCAAAGGAGGAGCAAAGATTGGAGTTGCCGGCCGTACGGGAGCTGGGAAGTCATCTTTTGTAGCAGCTCTCATGCGCATGCCTGATGCTGATGGAGAGATAGTCATCGACGACGTTCCAATTAAAGAGATAGGCCTCCAACAAGCTCGACGAGGTATCTCAGTTCTTGGCCAAAGTCCTGTTCTTTTTAGCGGATCTTTGAGGAAAAATCTCGATATTTTAGACAAGTTTCGAGACGCTGAATTATGGCAGGCTTTAGAGGATGTGCAACTGAAAGATTTTGTCGGGAGGCTTGAGGCCAAGCTGGATCACGAACTGCTGGAGCATGGTGCTAATGTCAGTGTTGGAGAGCGGCAGTTAATTTGCTTGGCTCGTGTGCTGCTACAGCGAAGTAAAATCGTCGTCTTGGACGAGCCAACTGCGCATGTTGACCCAGACACAGAGCAGACGATTTGGAATGTAGTGCGGGATAAACTGAAGGAGTCCACTGTCATCACTATAGCTCACCGTTTGAACACGATAAAAGACTGCGAGAAGATTTTGGTCTTGAAAGATGGAAAAGTTAAAGGGTTTGACAATTTTGACTCAATAATGAACATTAAGTGAGATGCGATCTTAGGTTGAAATACCTCGAATGTCACGCAGGTCTGATCCTGCAGAGCTCAAGATATTATACAGTTTATAATCTTTTCTAGAGCTGGCATTTGGTGTTATTGTTCGGTTTTGGCTCCTTTATACTCTTATGCATCTTTAAAATCTCTCTCGCTGTCATGTTTCGCGGTGTCACGCAACGTCCAATTTGCCCTGGTTCTGTCTAGTATTAGATCACAGACGAAGTCATAATGTGGTAAGAACAGCAAAACGGCACACTAGGCGCAGGCGAGCGTGTCACTGGTGTTCCAACTGCCCTATGACGTCCTCTTTGATATATTAATGAACAGACCCACCGTAGCATAGATTACATTTGCTTTATGTAATAGACAAAGCAAATTTTTTTTTCATGTGGACGTCAATTATCCGTCTGTTCCCTACCTGATCATAAGTAAAAGACCAATGGAGATGTCCTGGGAACGAATTACGAGCGCCACTTACCACCCGACGCAATGCGCACAAGAAACAAGATAACAGTTTATTCAGAAATAGGAAACTGTTTAGCAGCCTAGCTATGTCCAGATTTAGGGTCCGATATCAGAGAGTAACAGGTTGTCAAGTCAACATTCTCTTTGGGTATAAATTTAGATCTCCTCGGATGAGCATGTCAGCATTCACGTTGGGTATAAATTTTAAAAGATCTCATCGGACAAGCGGAAAGAATGAGAGGAGATGCAGGTCTACGTGATAGCGGCACAGATTTTTTAAAGTCCATATAAGATAAATAATAACTCTAGTATATAGATTTAGCCAAGCCTAAAAGCGGAGCTCTCGTCAATTTATTTTCCAGCCCTTCATTATTCTGAGTAAAAACTGTAATAAAACTCCTTAGCACTGGCTGTAGAAGAGTTTCTTCCAGGGAAAATAGGGACCAGTCCGGGGGTTGGGAACGGGGGAACCATTGACGAAGTCTGGAACATGGGGACTGTAATGTCGTACGTCAATCATGTTGGATCACGTGACTAGAGAGAGAGATTATTATTAAAAAAAAAAGCAAGGTTTTTACTACAAGCAGGGCGTTGTGGTTCATTTTACTTTAGCTCTATTCGAGACTGATACTCTCGATACCACATCTGGCGACGAGGATTCTAAAATTCATGAATCCCACAGTCAATATTCACATCAACACCGGTTTTCATTGAGGAGTTCGCTGTGTAAATTTTTCTTGAAAGCACGTGCTGTTTGCGACGCGCTCAACTCTGTGAGACCTCATGGCGGTTTTGCTACCAAGTTTTCCACCGTTCGACGTCCATGCCGATGGCAGTGCAGGTCCACGATGGAAAAGATGGCTAGGACGCTTAGAACGAATGCTTATCGGAATGAACATCACAGCTGCGAAAAGGAAACGGGCTTTGTTGCTGCATTATGCCGGCACCGACGTAGACGAAATATTCGACACCTTACCAAACACTGGCGAAGACGGCGACTATGACACGGCGGTCGCGAAACTTAACGAGTATTTCTCCCCACAAGTCAACACCACATATGAAGTATATAATTTTCGCCAGACGAAGCAGAAAGAGGGTGAGTCGCTTGATAGTTTTCACACCAGGCTTCGCCAACTCGCGAAAACCTGCGAATTCAGCGATGTTGACAAAGAAATTAAAGAACATATTATTCTGACGTGCAGTTCCAGCTCGCTTAGACGCCGAGCGCTACGTGAAAACCCAACGTTAGAAGGTTTATTGAATCTAGGAAGAGCATTAGAACTCAGTGACAAACAAGCGAAAGACGTAGAAGATACCGGAGGCGAATTCCAAGCCGTCAACAAAATCAAACGAAAAGAAGAGAATCGGCAAAGCCGCCCACGATACCGGCGTGACACACAATCACGCAATCGTCGTTTTGGAAACAAGCAAAGGCAATTCTCCCAGAAAATGTGGCAAATGTGGCGGGTACGCACCTCACAAAAATCCATGTCCTGCGCAAGGAAAAGTCTGTAAAAAAGCCTGCGGGAAAATTGGCCATTTTGCTCATGTTTGTCGTTCAAAACCTCGTACCGTGGCCTCCGTGGAAACTGGTCAAACCTCTGATGAAGAATATGAGTACGTTTACACTGTCGACCATCAAGAAAACAAGAAGCCACCCATATGTCAGCTACAAATCAATGGAAGAAACGTGAACATGATGATCGACTCGGGTGCATCTGTTAATCTTCTTGATGAAATAACCTTTCAAAGAATTAACAGTCACGGCAGTGAAAGCCTGCAGCCTGTTCACACCAAGACTTATTCATATGGATCTAAAGTCCCTCTTCCTACCCTGGGAATCCTCACTGCAACCGTGAAATCCAGTAACGCGAGCACCTCCGCTCAGCTGACTGTTGTTAAAGGAGAAAACGGAAATCTTCTCAGCTATCACACTGCAAAGAAACTAGGTCTGATTGCGGTTTCTATTAATACTGCCACCGTCACTGAAAGAAACAAAGACGACCCGGAGTCTCTAAAAGAAGAGTTCAAATCACTGTTTGGAGGCATAGGGAAAGTACCAAACAAACAAGTGAAGTTACACATTGACCCCGATGTTACACCCCGACAGCAACCCCACAGACGAATTCCATTTCATGTTAGAGACGATGTCGAAAAAGAGCTTGAGAGACTTGAGAAACTCGACATCATCGAGAAAGTTGAAGGGCCCACACCCTGGATCAGTCCAATTGTTGTCGTCCCCAAGAAATCCGGAGAAGTTCGAATCTGTGTTGATATGCGTGAGGCAAACCAAGCAATTAAGCGGGAAAAGCATCTCATGCCAACCATTGATGACCTTGTTGCTGATTTGAATGGTGCAACGCTTTTCAGTACATTAGATCTGTCCTCAGGATACCACCAGCTTGAGTTATCACCTGAAAGTCGTTATGTCACAACCTTCAGTACACATGCTGGCCTAAGAAGATACAAACGTTTGCCTTTTGGAATTAATGCAGCGTCCGAAATTTTCCAGGAAAAGATCAGGGAACTCCTTTCTGGCCTCCCAGGATGTAAAAACATCTCAGATGACATCATAGTATTTGGAAAAGACCAGGAAGAACACAACAAGAATCTCCGTGGTGTTCTCCAGAGGCTTAAAGAAAATAACCTCCGTCTCAACAAAGACAAGTGTGCGTTTTCCAAAACTGAAATCAAGTTTTATGGTCACATTTTCAGCTCTGTCGGTGTTAGACCTGATCCAAAGAAAGTTAAAGCAATCCACGAGGCACAATCTCCTCGGAACCATAGTGAACTGAAGTCTTTTCTTGGTATGGCACAGTACGTCTCCCGATTCATACCAGACTATGCCACAATCACGACCCCTTTGCGCCTGCTGACCCGACAGGACACCCCTTGGAAATGGGAGCAAGAAGAACAAAAGGCATTGGACAAGCTGAAAGAAGCCCTCGCTGGGGATCAAGTTATGTCCTATTTTGATCCAAGAAAGAAGACCGAAATCATTGTCGATGCGAGTCCAACTGGTCTTGGTGGACTGTTAATACAAGAAGGCAAAATTCTTAGTTATGCAAGCCGTGCTTTGAGTGATGTGGAAAGTCGCTACTCCCAAACAGAGAGAGAGATGCTTGCCGTAGTATGGGGAGTGGAACATTTTCATCTGTATGTTTATGGTGCCCAGTTTTCTGTTATTACTGATCATAAACCTCTCATAGGCATCTTTAAGAACCACAAGCAAACTTCCCCAAGAATGGACAGGTGGAAACTTCGACTCATGCCCTACGACTGTCAGCTGATCTATCGGCCTGGAAGAGATGCCGAAAACCCTGCTGATTACATGAGCCGACATCCGTGTCCCACAGCACCAGAAGAACAAAATTTGGCTGAAGATTATGCCAACTATGTATGCTCTAATGCTGTACCAAGAGCAATGACGCTCGAAGAAATAAAACACGAAACCAGAAATGATGCAGAAATGCAAGCTGTCGTCAAGGCTGTGGAAACTGGCCAATGGAATGTTCCAGACGTACAGAAATACAAGAAGCTCAAGGAAGAATTATCAGTGTTCAATGGACTAGTATTGAGAAGAAACAGAATTGTGATACCATTTACTCTCAGAAGTAAAGCAGTAGACCTGGCACATGGTGGTCACCAGGGGATTGTCAAAACAAAACAACTCATCCGAGACAAAGTGTGGTTCCCCGGAATCGACAACCTAACAGAAGAGAAGGTCAAAAGCTGTCTTTCATGTCAAGCTGCATCGACCAAGTCACCACCGATTGAACCCCTTCGAATGACGCCACTCCCTAGCGGACCTTGGAGAGAAGTCGCAGTGGATTTTGCTGGACCGTTCCCCTCTGGTGATTACATCATGGTTGTAACAGATGAATTCAGCCGTTTTCCGGAAGTAGAAATACTTACCTCAACATCAGCAAGAGTTGTGATCCCTAAACTTGATGCAATATTCTCAAGACAAGGTATTCCTGATGTCCTGAAAAGTGACAATGGTCCACCGTTTAATGGTCATGAATTTAAGAACTTTTCTGACTACTTAGGATTCAAGCATAGAAGGATAACCCCGTATTGGCCAAGAGCAAATGGAGAAGCGGAACGACTGGTTCAGACCCTCCAAAAGTCTATCAGAATTGCTCACCTAGAAGGCAAAAATTGGAAGCAAGAGTTGTACAAGTTCTTACGGCAATATCGTGCAACACCCCACTCCACCATCAATGTGTCTCCAAGTGAAGCCTTAAACAGCAGAAAACTCAAGACCACACTACCAGAGTCACCGATCACCCAACACAAGCTGCCGCGATATACACTTCAAGATCCATCCGCTAGCGTCGCCCAGAGAGATGCTCTGCAAAAGCAGAAAATGAAGGTCTATGCTGACCTCAAAGCGCATGCTCAAGAACGAGAGATTAAGCCAGGAGAAGTTGTACTCATTAGACAACCCAAACAAAACAAGCTCAGCACTCCATACAATCCAAAACCATTCATCGTGGAGGAACAGAAAGGCACCATGGTCACAGC